TCCAGCAATGTATTAACCAAGTCTGGGACTCTATTAACAAAATAATTTTATATATTATATACACCAACAAAGTTTAGTACAATTGTTATAATGACAAAAGTAAATTTACAATCTTGCAACATTGAACTTGAATATTCCACCTGCACCACCAAATGTAACTATTATTAGTGTGTGCAATGTTTTAAACAAGATTAAAAAATATTTTAAAACCATACCATCATGTCAAATTAACCAAAATAGAATATATATATATATATATATATATGTGTGTGTGTGTGTGTGTGTGTGTGTGTGTGTGTGTGTGTGTGTGTGTGTGTGTGTGTGTGTGTGTGTGTGTGTGTGTGTGTGTGTGTGTGTGAGAGACAGTCTTCCAAAATACACATGCCACTAATCATGTCAAATTGTACAAACTTGGGATGAACCCGTCAAGGGTGTTTCGTATGTTGTCAAAAGATCCATGAATGACATACAAGTTCCAACCTGTACAATAACATACAAAAAATCTAAAATATGACGTGTATAAAATCAAATACATAATAAATTTGTATTACAATGATTACACATAATTTATCTGCAACAACTACATATGTTTTCCACAACTCGTACATACAAATTCCTCAAATTTAAAACACAACAAATTCCTCTAATAGTACATATGCTTTCAAACATTATTTAATACAATTTTATAATGGACACACACCACAATAGTCGAATCTACACAATTTCCTCCACTAACAACCTCAAGAGATGATTCTGCGCAAACATTACTTCCAAATTGATTTCCCACCATTCCAATGTTGCACTCTTACCGTTAGAGAAACAAAATATTTAGATTCCATATACATAATAATTTGTATAAGATATCATTTATGCATGAAAATAGACATACCGTAGTAAGCTCAATGTGATCATTTTTTTTGTTCGCTTCCTTGACCTCTTAGTAATCGTTTCAGCGAGAGATATCTTTCTTTTAGATGGAGGATGGCCTTTTCGCTTGACATGTTTTGGACTGCGAATTCTATTACTATTGATTTAATTAGAATCCTTATCACCATTTTCTTCAATAAGGGCATTATCCTTTGTGGACATATTAGAGCTAAACAAAAGTAATGTTTCATGAAGGTCTTTGGTAGTCTCTTCCGACTCAGCAGCTACTTCAGCAACCTCATAAAAATGCTTGCATAACTTGTCAAACCTGTCCATTTGTGGCTTCAGCTTCATTACACCATAACTAGTCTTGATATATGAATGCTTCATTTTAATGTTTTCCTTCCATCTCGATAAAACATACTTCTCTGGAAGACTTATAATCCTCTCCTGACTACACACGGATAGCACATGCCGACATACAATAACTCGAAACTCAAATGATGAGCATTCACATTTAAAATCATGGTTTTCCTTATTAAGCACAACTTTTAAGACTCGCTCTTTGTGTAAATCTCCAACTAGTATCTCCTCTAACACATGATACGTAGTAATGCAACCTTCCACACTATTTAATGAGGTGGAACAATTCATCTTAGATCTGAATTCCACTTGAATTTCCTTGAATTTGGCATTAGTAAACTCACTTTGGAATTGCTTCTCAATGGGCGAGTTTGACCCACATAGAATTATTGTGTCCATCGAATTAAAATCGACTTCAAATTCCTTTTCTGCCCGACTTTTAAGAGCATTGTCATATTATTTCACAAACTGATTTAGACTTGTTGTAGAATTGATATATCCATCAAAGAAAGCATGTATGCTCTCACTACGTTGCGTAGTTGACATACCAGCCCAAAAATATTT